GCAGTTCCACTCTGTCCTCTAGGGGCGCTGTGAGTCAGAATCGACTCCACGGCAGTGGGTGTGGTATGGGCTTTGCTTCTGTGAAGACTGACAGCCTTGGCAACCCTGTGGTGCAGTTCCACTCTGTCCTCTAGGGGCGCTGTGGGTCCGAATGGACTCCACGGCAATAGGTGTGGTTTGGGCTTTGCTTCTGTGAAGATTGACAGCCTAGGAAACCCTCTGGGGCAGTTCTCCCCTGACCCCTAGGGGAGTTGGAATAGACCTGAGGCAACAAGTTAGATTTTTTTTTTTCTTTTTTTTAATCTTTATGGAAGCAGACTGCCACATCTTTATTCCGTGGAGTAGCTGGTGAGGTTCCAATCACCGACCTTATGGCAGCGAGCGCTTAGCCACTGTGCCACCAGGGCTCCTTCATGGTCTGCAATCACTCAAGCTTATCAAGAGCCTATTAAATCAGTACCACTCTTTTTTAAACATTTTATTGTGATTCTTGACTGCTCACCAGGAGGCTGGCAGTTCAAACCCACCAGCCCCTTCTCAGAAGGAAGATGAGGCAATCTACTTCCGTAGTGATACTGCCTCGGAAACCCAAGGAGGGGTCGCTATGGGTCGGGTCTGACTCGACGGCACATAACAACAACATTGTGATTCTGGTCAAGGCGTACGGAGCAACTCGGTTTTCCATTCATCAGTTCCCACACCTTTTGTTTCACAGCATTGATCACGGCCCCCACAGTGTCCCACTTCCTCCCTCTGTTTCCCCGTTTCCTTTCTTCCATCTTCCCCGTCCCTTCCTGCCTCTTAGCTTTTTATTCCTGGGCAAACGCTGCCCTTTTGACCCCTTAGGGTTGATTGTCCGGGGGAATGGGTCCTCCCTGGTGTTATTGTTCACCGCACAGGCCTGTCACTTCGCTGTAAGTTGAGCCAAAGGGGTGAGTTTGGTTCCGGGCTTCATGGGTGTCTGAGGGCTATAGTCTCAGGGTTCTACCACCAGTCCCTGTCAGACCAGAGATCCTGGTCTTTATTCCCATCCTGAGTTTTGTTCCACATGCATACCACTTTTTTGTAGCTCCCAGAGCAGTGTCTTGAAATGACAGCCACGCCAGTAAAATTGTGGGCATGCCTGTGCCTTAGGGGTCCCATTGGCACCGTCTGGGGCATGATGACTGAGTCTCACGGCTTTGGGGAACGGTGCAGTCGGGCGAGTTGGTCCCCCTCACTGCATGCCAGTGAGCTAATCGCTGCATGGCATGGACGTGATCCAGCAGCAGAGACGCTCACGGGGAGGAAAACAAGGAGCAGAAAGAAAGGCATCTTTGATGATGCATCGCATCAGAATTGGTGGCCCCATCCCGGGATGAATGTAAACTTACTCATCTAGGGCGCGCTC